CGTACTGCAGCGTGATGCACCCGCCGCCGGTGATTCTCACCTCCGCGCCCCGCCCGTCCACCGTCTTGTAGCTGTTGAAGATCAGCTCGTGCTTCAGCCTGATGGTCATGTCCCCCCCGAACACGATCCACAGCGGCTCCGCCTGGATCACCGCGTGCCGGAGCGTCCCCGCCCGAGGCTCCACCGTGTCTTCGTCCGATGAGTCCGTGACCACGTAGATCTTGCCCCCTTTCCCGCCCATCGCCCCTTGCCCGAACCCAATCCCGCAGTCCGCCAGCCGCTGCCGGTTGTCGGCCCAGTTCTCGTCGCACCGCCAGCAGTCGTCGATTGGGTTCCCGGTGAGGCATTGGTCCTTTTCCCCCGTCGACAGCAGCACTCTTCTTCTGTGCACCGATTCGTTCACTTTTCTGCAGATTTCACATTTGCACGGTAAGTGTTCGTGAAAATGCCACAGCCAAAAAACACCACGCTTTTAACTAAAAAAAAATCAGATAAATTATTAAAATATTTAATAGAACAAGCAAAACCTTTCTTCTTCTTCAATTTCTTCAATTTCTTTCGAGACCCAGATTGAGAATTGTTTTTTTCAGAAACTTAAAAGTTCCAATTGGAGCAATTGAACTAATTAAAAGCTGCTAACAATGGCTGGGCTAATAATTATTGGTCCAATTAGGACAATAATGGAAGTAAAATCTTTCTTCTTCTTCTTCTTAAATTTCTTTTGAGACCCAGATCGAGAAAACTTTCACAAGCTTAAAAGCTCCAACTAGACCAAATTGAAGGCTGTTAACAATGGCTGGGCTAAAAACTGCGTACCTTTGAACATCTTGAACTACATCTTCAGGGAAGGGGTGTTGGTGAGGAAGGGTGAGGTTGAAGGCGCCACTGACCAGCGGAGACAATGAGGACGTCAGCAAGACAGTGAACATGATAACGGCGGTGGAACAGGGGAGAAACATTCTGGAGATGGAGGAGCAATTCCGGTGGCGTTCTTGTTCTTGAAGCTCGGAAGTTGTTTCTTGTTGTGGACTGCGATGGACTTCTTGCCGATCTATTTTCTTGTCTGAAAACAAAAAATATCTTCAATTAGACTGGTCTGGAGAAGGAGAAGCCATTTGGGTCTTCTCTGAGTTCTCTCCCTCGATTTTCTATATTGTGCTGGATGGATATTAAGGAGCCGTTTGGAGGAATTGGAGGATACTCCAAATATTCTTTCCGTCTAAAATTAATCTTTTCATTTACTATTACAACTAGTTTTTACCCCGTGCTTCGCACGGGCTCGCATATTTCTCTATAAAATATATCTATATGTTAACATAGATATTATAAGTTAACATTTTGGATGTTTGTTAAAAGTTCAATTCATATATGAACATAATATGAATTAAAATTTAATTATATTTATTTTAATGTTTTAATAATAATATGATATGCATTAATAAAATAAATAATGTAATAAGATAAATTTTTTGAAACAAATCGTTTAATTAATAAATATGCATATGTGATTAAATTTATATAATCATTTTTTAAAAAGTAATAAACTAAAATAAGTTGTGGATAGTATAAAAATTATATATATATATATATATATATA